AGCTAATCTTAACAATTCGGTTTGTATAGTATTTGTAGTGATTTTTTTTTTAAATAGTGTCAGTTAGCCTTGGTCAGTAGCTCTATGCATGAAATGGTCATAGACTTAACTTTAGACATTGAGTGATACCTGTAGGGTCTCAGTGGTCAGTCACCAGGACCAATACATACCATCGTCATCCAAATGTGCAAGAGGGGGTGTTATAGATCTCTCTCTCTCTTTTTTTTAATGTTTTACACTAAAAATCAGTTGACCTCTGTATTTTTCCATCATAATCTAAACCTAAAGCAGTGGCTCATACATACTATGTGCTCAGGAAATGTTTATGAAAAATATGAATAAATGAGCACAAATTCAAATTCTTCATTCAATTGATGTTATTTTTGGAGCTTGTTAATCTTGAGATGTTTTCTTATTCTTTGTCCTTATCTGGATTTAGTAGTGTTTGCTAGCTATAATTTTTATTTTTTAGAAAACCAATGTGTTCGCAATAAATTTCAATGCTAATGTTTAATTAATATATGATACCATGTAATAATAATAAAGCAAAGCCCATATTTTCCATAATGAACTGAAGAAGAATAACCTGAAAATATTTTTAGGAAGGTGTTTTCAGAGGAAGTTGAGGAATAAAGGGGATCTTGCTTAAATGTGTTAAGGAATTTTGGCCTACAAATAATCTCTTGTGGGACAGAAGTGCTGGGTGGAGGAGAGCATTGGGTGCATGCAACACGCACCAGCTGTGGCCAACTGTTAGTGCCCAGTTTTCTCACGGTGTCTGGGCACCAGGAAGCTAATAGCCCTGGGGTACACTGATACAGGTGAGAGAAGCTGCCAGTGGAAAGCTTTGTGCCAAAGGTGTATGCCAGGGGCTACCAGATACAGGAGTAATCTCTTCAAATGGAAAATTTGATACATCTTTCTTCTCTTCACTGCCTCCCCGCTAAGGTCTGCTACCACAGGGGTTGGTACCCTTTCTGTTTATCCTTCTTCCTCCCAGTCATTTTCCTGTTAGACAGCAACTCCCTGAGGCCAGACATCGTCCTCTTTGTCCACTGTTCGCCTCTGAGCACCTAGTTATATGTGACACACAGTAGGTACTTAGAGAAACAGGAAGAATAAAGGTCTAAGCAGGCCTAGGAGTTTCTGCTTGTTCTGCTTAATGCTTCTTTCTTTTTTTAGTTATTTGGTTCTTTCAGCCCAACATCAAATTCTTCTAGCTTCTGCTTAATCTGTAATGTCTAGCTAAGAAAGCACAAGGCATTGCTATACCTCACAACTCGACTCCTAGGGGTCATTGAAGGTACTGGTGACATGCAGGTGGTGGCTCACATTTTGTAGAATGAATCTGTCTGCCTTGCACATGGCAGACACTGTTGGACTCATCACTAGTCCAGGGGAAGATGAATGTGGATGTGTTTGTGTTTATGACTCCTAACTGCCAGTAAGTTGTTTCCTAGGTAGGTGAAGGCCCCTGGAAAGGCCAGGGGTACCTTCTGTAGCTTCCTCAGCGCCTTTGTCGATTGCTTCTAGTGGTTCTGCCGTGCTTACTCAGCAAATACAGTGGAGACTGAGGCGCAGCTGATGGACGGCATTTGCCAACCCAGTGTGAGGCCCCGGGCTTGATCCCAGCACGATCTTCATAAATACATAGTTTTCCGTTAATGACGGTGTCTTCCCCAGTGACTTTGGGAATGTTGACAACTTTAAACTCCCACAGTGAAAGCCAGCAAAGCTCACTGACTTCTTTGCTCAGTATTCCTGCAGCCAGACTTCCTTTTAGTTTCCATGAGTTTAAGGCATTTCTTGTGGTAGTGCTGAGAATCGAGGCTGCCCTTTTATGGATCACTTTATAGAGTGTTTTGTTGGTTTATTTATTTGATTATTTTGAGAAAGGTCTCATTATGTAGCCTAGGCTGGATTTGAGCTTGTGGTGATTGTCCTGCCTCAGCCTCGGAGTGCTGAGATTGTAGCTGGGAGCCATCTTGCCTGGTTTACAGTGCCGTGAGGTACTCTGCACATGTGAACATGCGTAGTAAGAATGAGGGCTGTCAGGAAGGGTTTCCTGAAGGATTTTCTTTTATAACTCTTTATTTATTTACCGTGTGTGTATGTTTGAGAGTGTACCCACGTAAATGTGCCGTGGCCTGCATGTGGAGGTCAGAGCACGGTTTTCAGAACTCAGGTCTCACATTCTTCCACAATGTGGGTTCTGGGAGTTGCACTCTGATTGTCACCATTGGTAGCCATCCCCTTTACTTACTGAGCCGTCTCACCAGCCTTGACAGATTTTCTGAGAATCGCTTCACTACAGATTTAGGGCCGTGATGAAGAAGCAGAGTTAGGTATGTGCCTTGAACCTTGCCATCTTCACTGAAAAGTTGCAGAACATGGTTTAAATCGAGAAAGCGATTTGAATAGTTCAATTTACCATTCTATTTTTGGATTTGTGCTTTGCTGTGTGATTTTAACCTTGTCAGAATTTTTTTTTGTTGTTTTTTTCGAGACAGGGTTTCTCTGTGTAGCTTTGCGCCTTTCCTGGAGCTCACTTGGTAGCCCAGGCTGGCCTCGAATTCACAGAGATCTGCCTGGCTCTGCCTCCCGAGTGCTGGGATTAAAGGCGTGCGCCACCACACCCGGCCGTTTTCAGAATTTTTAAAAGGATAATTATTCCTAAATGATCACCACTGTCCATTTCTTTATGTGTATAGAAGACTGCTTTCAAATTATTAGTGGTTTTAAGGAGAGGATATGGGAGGGCAGGAGAGGTATGACAAGGGTCTATTAGAGCGGTGATCTCAGTTTTATGTCACTTAATCCCCACAGCAATTCTGTAAGGTAAGTGATACTATCCCACCACTGAGATAAGGGTAAGGATAAGATCGGGGAGGCAACTGGCTTAGAACAGTCGGTAGTGGAGCAGAGTTTCAAGCCTTGGTTTTAGGAGAATTCAACTCTTTCCAGTCTGTCATCTGTTTCCTCTCCCGGGTGCTGTGAGCAGTTCATTCATGCACCAGTGACTGTCTAGTTGTGTACATCATGCTAGGCCTTAGAGGGAGCAGTAAATAAATGGTCTGTGTCCTGATGGAATTTCAGTGGCACAGTGAGATGGATGTTTTAGCAGGATTGGTGCTAGTCTGAAGATTGGCAAGAGTAGAAGCAGGTAACCTCTGTAAGAGTAACTGCAGAAACCCCTGTGAAGGCAGTGTTAGTCTGGACTGTCAGAGGAGATGCAGGCAAGTGGGAGGATGTGGGATGTCTGTGGCAGGGAGAGTTGGTAAAGTTAAGGGGTGATGAGAATTTGGAAGGAGTTGGAAGAATTGAGAATGACTCCAGGTGTGATTTGGATTGAGTGGTGTTGCCTTTACTAATGCAGGGAAGAGCAAGGCAGGATCCAGACCAGAATAATGATGACAATGCAGCTGCTAGTTGTGTTATATTCCAGTAGGCAGGCAAACATCTGGGAATTCCATGGGAATCTGGGATGATGAGAGCAGTTTGAGTATGCTCACATACAGATGGTATATGATGTCATGGGAGTGGCTTCAGTTATCTAGGGAAAGCAGACATGCATATAAGACAGTAGAAGCCTAAAGCAGAGTTACCAATTTACCTTCTGTGGAATCTTCGTTTCATTTGTTAACTTAGAATTACATGTAAATGTAGTAGCCCTTCCTACATAGAGAAGGCAGCTCATTCTATAGCCAGTGCATAGGAAAGATTAACCACCAAGCACACTGCAAGATGCCAACACCTGAAGAGCTTTCAACTGGACGATGTGTCTCTGTGTGACTCTTGTGAGGGACTACATCTCAGAGTCCACATGGGATCTTTGATGGAGCTCCCAGATACACAAGAACAAACAGTATGTTACATAAATAGCCTGTTCTTTAAGTATAGGTGAATAGTGAAAGAATTAGGTTCCCATTGAGATACTGAAAGTAGAACATCTAGGTTCAACTTGCTGGCAGATTGAATCATACATTAGTTTTATAATATTGAAGCTCCTTAAAACAAAACATTTTGGGTAGCTTGTGCCCTTTGGGTTACTTAGCAGGCAGAATTATAAATGTTAACATCATAGAATACCAAGAGTGAAAGCCTCATAGGAACAGTTAAAAATGGGATGTCTTCAGTGGGCACTACCTAGAAACCACTCAAATATAAGATAACTGGTAAACAGTATAATGCTCAGTAGACCCACCCAGCACTTTGGTTGACTGTGCTGAGTATAGAAATGCTTTTTAAATGAAGGAAGCCAGACAGAAAAGAATGCAGACCGTATGATCTCATTTCTATGAAGTTCAAGAACAGGCAAAAACTGAGGACATCGGAGATGATGCCTGAGCAAAGGGAGGCGTGGGAACTGTAGGGGGACAGAGATGCTCTGTGAACCGAGGAGGGTGCTTCTTAGATGGTGCATTCATCTGTCCAAACTCGTTAACTTACATACTTAGATTTGTTCACTTCACTGTGACTTTTAAATAAGCAGCAAAGTAAGAAAATGAAAACATATGCTGAGCAGTTGTGTGGGAATGAGACTGGAGAGTACATGCATGCTGTCTTAGACTCGGGGAACCCACAGGAAGCCTCCCCCACAACTCTTCAGGTCCAGAATTATTCTTTTTACACTGTGTTAACTTTGTACCATAGAGATCTATTCCTACAAGAGTACTGAGCAACTCCACATTCCTTGAGGTGGTATTCTAAGTGACCTTCAGATCACAGGTGTAAACTGTGAGCATTTCCATTTCTGAATGTACTCAGGTATACTCACAGCTGAAGGAGGGAGGTTACAGGACTTACCTGAGGGTGGAGCAGCCTCTGCCTTCCTTATCTAAGGTGGACAGAGGACAAGAGGTAGCAAGATGGGGGGAGGAGAGGGGTAGCAGGTGTTTTTATGACTTGAGATTTACTTGTGCATGTATAAAGGAGACACGGTTTAAACAATATTTTCACAGTTATTCATGTTTCTTTTTTTTCTTTGTTCCTTTGAACAGGAGATAGTTGATTACCTCCTTCAAAATGGAAGATGGAAAGCCCGTTTGGGCACCCCACCCCACAGATGGATTTCAGATGGGCAATATCGTAGATATTGGCCCTGACAGCTTAACAATTGAACCTTTGAACCAAAAAGGCAAGGTGAGTTTCTCAGAGAGATGTCAAAATGTGATCTCTTTCAGATACAGCCCCCCCCCCATATATATTTCCCCCAAGAAAGGTGAGAATGAAGTAGATATTCCTGTCATGGTGGAGAAACCAAATGTCTGGTAATGTCGTTGACGTTTTGGGCTGACTTCCTTGATTAAATGGGAAGTGTGTACTACGAGGAAACAGGCTCCTGCAATAATCTGGAACCTAACATTCTTAGTTGTGTGATAAAAGCCAATCCGTGGCAGCATTGTTATCCCATATGCCACACTATTATAATCACTGGTGTGGCTGTGACGTAGTCAATGTGTGATGAAGCAACCATGGATGATGTGACTGCTGCTATGATGTCAAGTTCTTCTTGGGAGTTTCACCTTTCACATCTTCTCTCCTTTTCCTTTTTTTTTCCCTTTTGTTTACTTAAACTTACTTATTTAAACTTATATCGTATAGAATTTGGGTAAATATCTTTGTAGTAAGTAAAGACATTTGACTCTTAAACCTCCTATATATTGTTTTGTTATGATAATGTGTAAAATATACTTTAATTCTGTACATACATTATTTACTTCCTTTTATAAAATCTTAGACATAGACTAGTCAAGATTCCTAAGTGACCAGGAGTTGTGATTTGCTTACAGCCAGGCCTCCAATGTAGGCATGTATCTTTCAGTTTTCATGAGATTGGCTGTTTCTTGGTACCATAGCCTCACAGTTTTAAGTCTAACAAATACTACTATTAAACATTTCTTCCGACTAAATATGTGCATGTAATTTCTGTTTACTTCAGGCTCTGCAAATACCCATGAATAATTTACATTCTACCAATTCGTGGTTAACTAATGCCATATGACTGCCATCCTTCTGGGAACCTTAGAAAAACAAGGTGGATCTCTCATGAGGTCTGTTCAGAGAGAAGACTATTCTGTTACTGTAAACAACCCAGGAACCAGAATGCATAATATATAATGTGCCATGTTAGTGGAGGCCAATTAAAAATGCCTTCAGGAAAGGAAAGATAAAGTGTTCTCATTTTCCCTCATTAGTGGTACCTGTGTGTACTTACAGCATACCACCTATTTTAAAAGTGGGTTTTTGAAAGTTCACACACAGTAAGTTTTGAAAGCTTTTGCCTTTTGCTTAACATGTTTTATAAGCACAGCAAGCTAAAAGGCCAGAATTAAGTGAGGGCTGTACCTCCTGAGTCTATTCTGTTGAGGTCTGTCACATCTGTAGGTGACAGAATAATTCAGTTTAAAAATAAAAGAAACTTGATTTAAGGGTATGTGCTTTTGTTAAATATTTTACATATTTCAATGTGTTTGAACTATGTCATATTAGTGTTAATAAGATATATGCATAGAACCAATAGAAGTACATTTTAGTTGAATTATTTTTGGGTGCATTTGCTTATTTGTTGTGTGTATGTGTGTGTGTGTGTGTGTGTGTATGTGTTTGTGTGTACATGTGCATATGTACATGTGGAAGTCGAGCATTGGTTCTCTTCTTCCACCCTGTGGGTCCCAGGAATTGAACTCAAGATCTCAGGTTTTGAGCCATCTCAGCAGGCTGGAAGCATAGTTTAAGTTATAGAGTCACATACATTTTATAAATCTACAAATAAGTCTATAAACTGAAGTCTAAATTTTCTAAAAAAAAAAAAAGCTATTTTTATTATTTGTGTGTGTGTGTGTGTGTGTGTGTGTGTGTGTGTGTGTGTGTGTTGCACAAAATCCTTTTGAGTAGAGATCAGAGGACAACCTGCGGGAGGTGGATCTCTTTCTTCATTACATGGGTCCTAGGAGATTAAGCTCAGGTCCCCAGGCTTAATGGCAGGTGCCTTTATCTACTGAGCCATCTTGCTGGGCCCTGGTTTTCTTTTTATAACAGAAAAACTTTCCTAACAGAAAAATAAAAACTTTTTGATAATTTTTTTTAAATGAAACCTTTTGTTTCCTTAGGGGGAGAGAAAGTAGAGGCTGGTTGTTAATTTGGGGCCCGGGGCGGGGGGCTGAAGGAAGAGGGAGAGGGGCTTCTTCTGGATTGTTTTAGCTTACTGTTAACCTTTAGGGAACTTGGTTGCCCCTCCCCTGGAGCATTCATTACTGTCAGGCGTCTTTTTCATTGGCTATAGTTCCTGCCAGGTTAGGACCAGGCCTCTGTTGCTATGGCCCTGACGAGTGTACATACAGTTCTGTGATAGTAGCAGCTATTTCAGAATGGATTTTCCTACAGATTCATTGCTGTGAATTAATTGTTTTATGCTATCTTTTTCTACATACTGTTCACTGTCTGGTTCATGTTGACCCAAGTTCCCTTTTGAAAGAGTGGCCTCTCCTCCAAACCTTCCACATTTATAACATTGAGGACACATGTATTAGATCGCAAAGAGTTAACTTTCAGAGTGTTGAGTTTAACAGTCTTGTAAGTTGGGTGTGACTTTGTTGTTGTCCTTTTGTGTTAGTGGTACTAGAGGTTGCATTCAGGGCATGACATATTTTACACAAGAACTTTACCCCTGAGCTGTCCCCATACCACTAACTTGGGTTATAACTTTAAATTGGAATAGTCTTGGAAGCCTGGGTTTCACTTTTTAAACTATGATCATCTTAATGTATACAGTTTGCTTACACACATAGAGTTACAAATTGTTTTTTATTTTGATACTGGAGATCAGGCCAAGGTCCTTGTACATGTTGAGCATAAACTTTACCACTGAGCTAAAACTCTAGCCCTGTGGCTATTGTCGTGAAAGAACTAAACCACTTTTCTTAAGAGTTTAATTTGATACAGTTGGCAATGTCAACCAGAAGAGTTAATTGTAATTATTTAGAGGTATAAATTTATAAATAACTGTTAAGATAGCATGAATTAAAATTTAATTCGTGTTAGATGTAATTTGAGATCATTTGTTCTCTGTTACAAGATGCTATCTTAATTCTGCAGTGTCTCCCATAGCATTTTAAGTGATGAATGAGTGCAGGTTTATTTATGGGTTAATTTTTTGCGGAGACAGGGTCTTGTGTAGCTTTGCCTGGCCTTAGCTCATTATGTAGTCAAGCATGACCTTGAATTCATGATCTTCCTGCTTGCACCTCCCAAGTGCTGGGATTGTAGGCATGTGCCACCACGCCCAGCTATTTGTGGCACTTTTAATTATATGAACCAGATATTTTTATATTGTTGACATAGTTTTATGTAGGACTTGGTGTCAAATATATTTCTCAAATAACAACATTAATAGTTTGTTTATGTTATATGTAAGTGATTATGAATGTTTCCGTTTTAAAACAATAAAATTGTTTATATGCAAACATTAAAGTGCTTTTAATTTTTGGTAAGTAGCATGTCTTTAGGATTGGTGTGTTTGTTACCTTGTTAGGATTAGTGGGTTTGTTATTTTGTCTGACTGTGGGTGTGGGAACCCGGGATACTTATTTGTTAATTGCTGTTACTGATTCATGTCTACGGTGGTAATGGACACAGTTTTTGATGAAAGTTATTGTCTTCTGAATGAGTGCTTTGTTAAGCAGTAGAATCTGTGATATACGCTAATAGAGAACACTTAGAACCAGTTGAACTCCTCGTCTTTTTTAGTATCTAAAAGCCGCAAATGCTCAAACCTTTTTGTTTGTTTGTTTGCTAGACATTTTTGGCTCTCATAAACCAAGTATTCCCTGCAGAAGAGGACAGTAAAAAAGATGTGGAAGATAACTGTAAGTATTAATTTCAAAGTTATTTCTCCATCCCATCCAAGTGTCTGCTTCCAGAAAGTGGGTTAGTGCTGATGTCACTAGTGCAGGAGACTAGGTCAGAGCACACAGGCTTGATAACAGCTCCCGGGAGCTTGGAAGGCCTTGGGTCATTCCTGTATCCCATGTGCACTTCTAAGAATGCCTCTTGAGTGTCTCCTACTGTCATTTCAGCTGTGTGTGTGAAGTTTCAACTAAAGGCTCTTCTTGGTTGGCTCTAAAGTCATTGCAAACCTCATAGTGGGGGGAGAGTTCTTAGTAATTTGGATGTTGACAGCAAGAGTCATTTAATATCGCTCTTTGGATATGGCAAACCACTATTAAACAGAACAAACAACACTGCTGAATAATTTATAATTGAAAAGTTTATTTAAGAACATTATATTAAAATATAGTATTAATTTGAATTATAGACAGACACCTTAAAATACTTGGTGAAAAATTCTTTATTCATTGAACAGGGCATATTTATTTTATATTTTCAACATTAAGAGGTAATCACACTTCAGTAGTTTGGGGTCTTCATCACTGTAACAAAACATCTGAATTAATTTAAAAAGGAGCGTGAGGTTTGTTTTGGTTTATAGATTGGGAGATTTCTGTCTATGGTTATTTGACCCCTCCATTTGTGCCTTTGGTGAGATGCAGTGCATCACGGCAGGAACATGTGTAGAGGAAGTCGCTTACTTTACGGAAGCCAGGAAACAAAGACAGAACTGAGAAAATCCCGTGTCCCTATCATCCCGTTAAGGCACACCACAGTGACAGCCTCACCTCTTAAAGTTCCCATCATCTTCCAACAACTTCAGGGGAAGCTCTAGGCCTTAACAGAGGTGTCTTCGGAGAACATTCCAGAGCCAAACCCAGTGGGCTAGTCGTGGTATTTGCGGATCATTTCTATTTACCATGGATTTCCTTAGAAGCCTCTGACCTTAAATACTCTCCGGAAGAGAAGACAAGAGAAAGATACGGGTTTATTAGTGTTTTTCACTGGGGTTTACAATTGAGTAAGCCTGAAAGACCCCAAATGAAAACACAGGTGTTGTGAAATAGTGTTGGTGTTGGGGGCACAGTGGGCTGAGGCTGAGACAGTCGTGGGTTCTGACTCAGACTTCAGTTTGGAAGCTTATGTGGCTGCTTTTGGGAAGCGCGTCTGCAAAGTAGGAGTCGTTGTGTGTGTTGCATACTAAGAGGTGATACATTCAAGGTGTTTGGCAGAATACTTGACTTCTACAGACTAAGTAAACAACAGCCGTTATTATTAGGTGTAAAGACACCATTTTTCTTCCTTTCCCAAGTTGCTAGGGAGTTTGTCTGCTGAAACAATGCAGTTTTGAGGAATAATTAGAGCAAAATAGAAAGAAAACTGTATCATGTTGAAAATAATAGAAAGTATCTTTCTGTTCAAGTTTTCTTGGGAGGCCAGTGAGATGGTTCAGTGGGTACTGGCACTTTGCGCAAGCCTGAGGACCCGAATTTGATCCCCAGGAGCCCCATGGTGGAAGAAGAGAACTGATCCCCACACACCATGTCTTGCAGTGCCCCTCCCCACAACATACATAAATGTAACAAAAATTTCCTAGGGTGTATAATGTAACAATAATCCTCTTCATATATTAACATGCTTTCCTTAGAGATATAATTCGTCTGTAGCTAAACATAATAGGTTTGAATTTTCCATCTGTTGTTTTTCCAATTAATATTTTCAAACTCTTCCATTTGCTTTGCTGTGCTATGTTTTACCACTGTTGACTTTCCCTGGCCCCAGTGGAGTTCTCTGCCTCCTCCAAGTGCTCTTACCGATGATTGCAATGGTACCATGTGGAAGCTCATTGTTCTCATCATGCAGTAGCCTGTCCTGACTTGAAGTCTCTTTTCTGAAGCCCTGTCATTTAAGCAATTTCGGTTGTTGACTTTATAATATATTTTTGAAGCCGAAGATGTTCCTTCACTTAGTCTTTGGTCTGAGGATTGTCATTATCATACCGACCTTTCCAAATGCAGTCTGCCTTATGTCTCATATCATCCCTCTATTCTGTATCACAGTGATAATGTAGTGATTAAATGCCTGATAGCTGTAGTTTATGGTTATGAACCATGTGGTAAAGCTTCATTGAAAGCAAAAGTGTAGGGATGATCATGGTCCACACCTGTAATCCCAGCACTTAGGAGGCTGAGGTTGGAGGACCCCAAATTCAATAGCTGGGTAGCAGGACCCTGCCTCGAAACCAGCCAGCCAACCAACCAACCAACCAAGCAAATACCCAGAAGTATTTGTTATCTTTTAAAGCAAAACTGCTTTTAGCTTTAAGTTCCATGTGTAAGTGTTTTATATGTAGAGATTAATATGTTAGTTTTACATTTTTACTTGATTGTTGGCATTAATAACAGAATAGAAAAATAATTCAGGGGTAAATTCAGCAATTAAATAGAAAATAATAGCACAATTTCATGCTGAATTTAAGGTACTATTGTTTCTGTTGCCTATAACATTCCTCATGAATATTCCTCATGCCAGATGTTGAGAGTAAGTACCAAGTATAAAATCAGCCTAGAAGTTTTCCCTTCAGTCTTAGTCATGTGATGACTTCTACAGCAAAATATACCTATCGTTGATTGGCCTCCATGATGTTGAAATTGATGGTGTGTCCCCCCCACCTCTCACTGAACTAGAGTTCTAGTCAATAAACAGGATCTGAAATACTCAGATAACATCTAGTCATTATTGCAAATTTAATGAAGCCACAGATGTTCTTCATTAAATATTTTTGGTATGGTATATATCACCAAAGTATGTCCAAGGGAATAAATTTGTGTTTATATTTCTATGATGTCTTACTTTTAAAAGTCTATTGACTAACATGCATGAGGCCCTGGTTCAATCCCCAACACTTCCAAAAAAGAAAAAAACAATCTGACAAAAAAAAAATAGTCTTAGATCTTTCTGACAAAAAATAGTCTTAGAGCTTTCAGACAAAAAATAGTCTTAGAGCTTTCAGACAAAAAATAGTCTTAGAGCTTTCAGAAGTTCACTGTCATGGCTTGGCTGATGAAGGTCCTTGCAGTTAAAGCTTGGCATCCTGAATTCCATTTCCCTGGTCCATGTAAAGGTGGATACTAAGAACCACTTCCACAAAATTGTCCTCTGACCCACTCAGTGCCGTGCCATGTATCCCCCATCATGAACGCATGTGTACATGCACTAAAAAAAAAAAATGTTATTTGAGGTGTGGTGGTACTCACCTTTAATTATAGCTCTTATAAAGTGGAAGTAGGCAGAGCTCTGGGGAGTTCAAGGCCAGCCTAGTCTCTATAGTGAGTTTCAGGCCAGCCAGAGATGCATAGCGAGACTCTGTCTCAAAAAAATACTGTTGTTCCTTTGACTATAGTTAAATCTATAAATACTTAGACATAAAAAGTAAGCACTCTTTATGAAGTAGTGCATGTAAATAGCCAAGCCAAGTAACCCTAGGGCTGGCTATCAGAAGGGGGGAGGATGAAACTAGGTGGTGCAGGACATTGTTTCTGGGACCCTTGTGAACATTCCTGGATCGTACCACTAGGGAGGTGGTTGAAACTTAACGTCTCTCACTTTGACAAATAGCAGACATTTTTCCATATAAGTGGAATAGCCTGATCAGCGTGATGAGAGGTCTTCCTGCCACTGACAGATATTGAGCCTGTTGGGGGTTTATTTGGTTGAACGAACAGATATCTTTGAGAAGGCAGGTGGGGAGTAAGGACTAGGGTGAAGAGAATACAGTTAGCAGCCATCCACATGTCAGGATAGGGTTACATGGCTGGCTCTAACAGGGTGTGTGTGTGCTGTGCTATCAGCAGTTCTCACTTAGAGGGAGCAGATGCTAGCGTGTAAGCAGCTGATGCAGAGGAAAGTGAGACGTGGGGAGAGGCTCAGCAGGGTTTTGAGTAAAGAAATAGCAGCGTGTAGGTCGGGCTTCCAGGGGATGAGTGGGGATGAGTGTGGAAGAGGAGCAGGAATATAGAACGAAGGTGACTGGATACCCAGACTAGACACAACTCTGCTGCTTGAGTCCTTCCATCTCTTCCTCAGTTCAAAGGAAAGCTACAGCTCAACTGTTAAGAGCCCCAAACTACTTCGTACTCTCTTACTCTGCTTCCAGTGGCATCAGAAAGCAATGGGGCCCTTGGAAAGTGAACTGACTGCATTGTCTAAGTGCAGAAACATGGCCTTTCTTTGCCAAGTAGTCTAGCAAGAGGCTCTTGTGCGCGCTATTGACTTGTGTACTGGGGATGCAGGCACTGAGGATGCTACATCTTCAGTAAGGGACCATGCAAAACAAGTGAACTATGCAGCCCTTAAGTATTTCATTTAGTTACTAAAACCAGATGTATAAAATTGTCATCCTAATCCTGACAGATGTGGAAAGCAGCAGGAGAAATTGCAAAGAAGAGAATAGCTCTGGAGGTGGTGAGGTTGGAGAAGTATCATTTTGAGACAGGTTTATATCTATCTCAAAGAATCATTTTGAGAAGTGACTTTAAAGGAGATATATATATATATATATATATATATATATATATATATATATATATATGGAGAGTATGTTATAGTCAGAGACAATGTATGAATAGATTGTGGGTTTGATAAATAGCTCAGTTTGTGTACAAGTTAGGTATTAAAGCAGGTTATAGAAAATTATAAAAGTGACCATTTGAATTCAGGTTTATTAACAGCCTTGAATAGATTTTTAAGGTGAATGTTTGTAGTTGAGCCCCAGCGAGTTTCTTTGATATGGAGAGAGATTTAGTTAGTGCTCCAGTTGACTTAATCTACTCTGCAGTCTGGACTGGAGAGAATAGAGATTAAAGCCATAGACAAATAGAGGTCACTGTAACCACAAAAGAGAAAGTGTGGCCTGCACAGTGATCCTGCATAGCAATGGAGCAGTAGAGAAGGAGGGAGGGGCATGTCAGGGATTCAGACTGTGTTAACATTAGTATATTTACCATGACCCTAGCAATGGGCTATATCTTTTTATGTGATGTGAACTGACATCAAATGGGAGGACAAGAAGAGACAGGTCTGTTGTTGACTACTGTTTTCAGCTTGGATAACTGATAAAATCATGGTCCCAACAGCAAGCAAAGTAGGTAAGAGGAGTATACTGTCTGCTCTGTCATGTAGTGGAAGGGAAACAAAGGGGATGGGACTGTGTAAGGACTAGGTAGGGAAGAACTTGAGATGGATCGCCATAACAGAACAGAAAAACAAGATGTTTACTCCGATTCTGAACTTAACTCGTAAATAAGATGGGTTATGATGTGCATGATGTCTCCTGATCTGACTTCATCAGCCATTGTGAGAATGATCCAAATGACCTGATGGTCCCTTACATTCTAAATCTATATGGTTTCTGTTTTATCTGTAAGCTTCTAGCATTGAGCTGGATTAGTATTTCACTTTGTAGGGTCATAAACGGCTACAACAGTTCTTTCCACTTGATTGACAGTTGGCATTTAAACCTGTCCTCAGCAGAGTCCATCACTGGTACTCACTATAAGTAACTCCTGTAGCTGGAAATGTGTCATCTAACGTTCTCACAGCTGTAAGTGAACTCGATTTGTTCTAGGCAAGTGTTCTACCAATGCAATGTACCCCAGATGGATTAGTTTTACACTGGCCCATGGTGTTTATGTGTACCTGTGTTCTAAAAGCATGGGAGTAAATCTACCCAAACAAGTGAATTTTAAACTTGGATCAGAGTGATTATGCATAATGAATTTTCTTTTTCCTTTTTTTCAACTCTCCAATCTAAAATTTTGTTTTAGGTTCACTGATGTACTTAAATGAAGCCACACTCCTCCACAATGTCAAAGTTCGGTACAGTAAAGACAGAATCTATGTAAGTATTTGACCAATGACTTTAGATTTTGTGGGTGACTCTTTCACATGCCACATTTGCTTTTGCCCTGCTTGGTCTGAGTGTGATGCACATGAGAGTTCCAATGCATGCTCTCCAAACAGAGCTCCCCATGGTCCTGGTACATAGCAGGTACATAATAAAATCTGCAGAATGAGATAATGAATTCAGAGAACCAATTAACCTACTTCAGACTTACAAAGGTCCAATTCAAATGTTTAAAAAACTATTTTGGAGTTTGATTTGTTTTTGGTATACATCTATAGATCTATTTAATTTCACTTTTCACACTGTGCAGAGAATGTAAGGCAGCCTATATGTACTGAAGTTAAAAAAAACTAAATGAAGAAAAATAAGTAAATTAGAATAGAAGGCAATAGCTAGAGAAGTATCAGATAGATAAGAATGCTGATCATGGAGCCTAAATAACTGTAGGATTTCATGAGTCCTTGGATGCTGGTCCTTGAATGTCCAGATCATTAAACACAAAGAAAGACAATGCTTTGGCTGTAAGTAGTCTGCATCAGCTCATTCAGATGGAGATTTAGCTACTGCGTTTTAATTATAATTATTCATTGGGCACACATGAGATTTTATTCTGCCCTGACCTGGTCATGGATTCCTTTGTTGGCTGGAGATGGATTACCACACTCTGGTATCCTGTTATAAGGATGGGCTTCATTATTTTTGAACGAAGGACGCACATGGCTTCTTTGACACTTACAAGATCAAATGACAGTCTTAATCTTTTATATCACTATCAATTTGCCTAATTGTACTTACTTAATTCTGACTAAATGACATCTAGTCTCTGCCATCTGTCAAGTAGTGCCAGCTGGGAAATGGAACTAATGTAGTCTGCCCCAAAGAATCTACTTGTCTCCTGACTGTGCACACTGTTAAGACTGCACTTTCCTCTCTTCTACCCCATGACTTCAATGGAGTAAAGATCATCTTTAGGTGTGAATATAGGTATTCTTGGGTAGAAATACTTTCAGACGCAAAGTTTATTCAGTCTATAACTTGTGATTGAACAGACTCTAATGCTCACTAAGTGCTGTTTTAGATACCGAAGTAACCAAGTTTTAAAGTCTGTTGAAACCTTTTAACTTGTAGTAAATCAGTGAAAATTAATTGGATGGAACTGGGAGACTGCCTATTCTGAGTAGAGCTTAAGAACCAGTGTTGCCAAGGTTGCCTGAAGGCAGGAGTAGCATGTTCTTTTCTCTTAGCCAGTTAGGCTTTTTAGTTCTAAAGTCATTTTATGTGGGCAACCCATAAATGCATCTGTTATTATTATACAAATCTAAATAAATGTGCCAATTATCAAATTTATATAGATACATAATTTTGGGAAGGAAGCAATATAGAGTAATAATTTAAACTTGACATTTGGTACTTACCAGAATCACTGCCCTCCCTTAGATTTGAGTAAAACAATAGATGAATCTCATTTAAAATTTTCATGTTGCTGAAATCTCTGAGCCTTTACTTTTTGTCCTCATTTTTAGGGATTTATCCCTTTTTACTTGATGTATATGTGTGTTTTGCCTGAATGGATGTATGTGCAGCACGTATGTGATTAGTGCCCATGGGGGCCAGAAGAGGCTGCTGGGAAACCAAACCAGGATCCTTTGTTCCAGCAGACAGTGCTGAGCCACCTCTCCAGCCCCTTCCATTCTCATTAGTCACTCTCCTCTAGGAAACGTCTTTGGGGACATTGTGTGCATTTAGCAGTTTGAGAGCTCAGGATTTTTACAGCGCTTCTCTCCCACAGTTGGAAAGAGAGAAGTATGGCCTTGTATGCCATACAAGTTTTTTCAGGGTTACTAAACTACGACTCTCTATCTACCCAAGTAGTTTTATAAATTCTATCAGTGCATTTCTATGGTCTTTAAAAAACAAATTAAATTTCAAATTTCAAAGGAAATTCAAGTTGCTCATGAAATAGTTACCTGCCAGTGGTTATTATGTGGTGCTTTGCAGAACTCCTAAGACCAAGTGGTCACCTCAGAGCTAAGTCATTCCTGAGCATTCATTGACAGGGAAGGCTCAGACCCAGCTACAAGATCATTCAAATGCTCTAAGAGCAGGGTGAATAGTGGGAGGATACCGGTGACCTGAATTGAGCTGTAGGACCCAGCTTGGGGACTCTAAGTGGAGTCAGCTGGTGGTGAAAGCTATTACTTTAGAGAACTATGGGAGGGTTTTTTTTTTTTTTTTTTTTTTTTTTTAATGAGACATAGGGAAGTGGGAAGGTACGATCTTGGTGTGTTGACTTTGAAATGACTGTAGAATGACAGCATAAAGACATTTATTTGGAAATAAGTATTTCTTTGGAATTTGAGAAATGGTGGGCTCTGTGAAATCAGAAAATATTTAATTTGGGATAGAAATGTAGATTTTTGAAGTCTTGTTTATATGAGAATTGAAGGTTTCCATTTGCTGATTATTTCTCCTGTTTGCCTTGTTTAATTTTGAAGGAAAATAATAATTGGACATTTCCTTTTTCTGCTTCTCCTACTTAGACATATGTCGCCAACATTCTGATTGCAGTGAACCCATACTTTGATATTCCTAAAATATATACTTCAGATACAATAAAGTCATATCAAGGAAAATCTCTTGGGACGATGCCACCTCATGTCTTTGCAATTGGTAAATTATATTTTAATTCTTGTCTTTTCTTATATCATACAAATTTACTTGATTTTTAAATTGTTTTGAGTCCCTTAAAAGATCTCAAGGTATTCATTGTCCACAGTACTGTGTCATATAAGGATCTTTTTATGCAGCTGTTTACTATTCATTGAATATATGCACCCTCCCCCGCCCTCGCTCACACCCTGTTCTCTCCTGCTTCTCTACCCACCCCCTCTGTTAGTCCACCTTGTCCCCTAGTTCGCTCTTCACCTCTACTTTGATACATGTGATTTTACGTTTCTATATAAAATCTAGGAAGAGAAAACACGAGACTGGCTCAGGTTTGCTTAATTTGATGTTTTCCAGTTATATCTACTTTCCTGCAAATGATGTCGTTTTGTTTCTCTTTATGGCTGGAAATTTTTCCGTGGCACATTTTCCTTATCTGTTCCTATGTTGTTGGACACCTACGTTGGTTCCAGGACTTAGTTGTTGTGAATTGTGCTGTGGTAAACATTGGTGTGCAAGTACCTCTGTGGTCTCTTGACTTAGAGTCCCTTGGGTAAATACCCAGGGTTGATAAATCTATTGTTTTTCATTTAAAAAAAATTGTGTTTATGTGTTGGCGGGGTTGGGGGGTTGGGGGGTGGCGTTGCATGTGGCAAGGTGCGTGTGTGGAGGTCAGAGGACGGCTTTGAGCAGGTCATATGTGGCGGTCAATTTGTTTCTCTTCTTTCACCTTTACATATGTTCCAGGGATCAAACTCAGGTTGGTGGACTTGCATGGCAAGTACTTTGCTGAGCGATGGTAACAACTTTATTTATTTATTTGTTTATTTTTTAGTTTTTTGAGGAACTGTTGTACTGATTTCCATAGAGGCTGTACTGGTTGACATTCCCACCAGCAGTGTATAAGGGTTTCTTTTTTGTTTGCATATATTAATTATGCATAAAGTTTTTCATTATGACATTTTCATATATGGTGCATAATGTATTTTGATGATATTCACCCCATTACCACTCCCACTAACCCTCTTTCTGTTCCAACCTCACCCTTTCTACTTTCATCTTTTTTGTGTGTGACCCAATGGGTTTAATTAGTTTTGTTTACAGGAGCGTGGGCATCTTATCATGGCTATATTACTGGAGAAAATGTCTCTGCTTCCCTATCAACCGTGGACTGTGTATAAATTCTTAGGAAGTGGTGGGGCTCTGTGAGCGCTCTCCTCTCCATGACAGGGTGTTTTTTTTTTTTTTATCAGGCCCAATGTTGTGCAGATAATCATAGCTGATATGGGTTCAGGATTGGGACAGCCATGTCACTTTTCTCCCCATCCCTTTCTCTGGCTTTTATGTTCTTTCTGCCCCCCTTTTTTGAAATCTTTGTGTATTCTAGATATTATTTGTTAGATATCTAGCTGGAAAAGATTTTCTCCTGCTCTGTAGGCCGTCTCTTCCCTTAATTAATGTCTCCTTTGCCATGTAGAAGTTTATTAATTCCGTGAGATCATATTTGTCAGTTATTGACATTCTTTGCTGAGCGATTGGAGACCTCTTCAGGCCCATTCAGAAAGTCTTTGCCTAAGCCTATATCTTGTATTTGACCTACTTTTTCCTCTGACAGTTTCAGAGTTTCAGGTTTCACACTGAGATTTTTCATTTATTTAAAGTTGATTTTTTAATGGGGTGAGAAATAAGGATTTAGCTTCATTCTTCTACATGTGAGAGAATGTCTTTTTTCTAGTGTATGTTTTTTGGCACTTTTGTATATAAAAATAAGGTGGTTTGTATCTGGGTCCTGCATTCTGTTTTATTGATCTATATGCCTGTACTATGCTGTCTCCTCCTCTTCCTCCTCCTCCTCATTATTATTATTGGTCTGTAATGCAACTTGAAATCAAATATGGTGGTCTCAACTATTGTTGTTCTTGCTTGAGATTGCTTTGGCTATCTGGGATGTTTTGTGTTCCCATATGAATTTTAAGAGTTTTTTGCTACGTATGTGAAGAATGACATTGGAATGACATTTTATGGGTATTGCTTTAAATCTGTAGACTGCTTTTAGTAGTGTAGCCATTTTCATAATATTGATTATTTCCATCTAGGAGCAAGTAAGGTCTTTCCACTTTTCTAGTATCTCTTTCAATTTCTTCTTCTCAGTGTTTGAAAGTTTTCATTGTAGAGTCTTCCACTCCCTTAGTTACGAGTTTCCCAGGGCATTTGATTTTATTCTTTGAGGCAATTGCACATGAAATTGTTTCCTTGATTTATTTCTCAACATGCTTGTTATTGGCGTATGAGAAAGTTACTGATTTTTGTATGTTTATTTTGTGTCCTGTCACATTTCTGAAAGTGTGTCTTAGCTCTAGGAGTTTTCTATTGCATGCCCTAGGGTCTCATGTACAGTCATATCATCTGTTAGTGTGGATATAATGACTGATGTTTCTATTTGTGTCTCTTTTATTTCCTTCTCTTCTGTTATTTCTATAGCTCAGACTTGAAGCACTATGTTGATAAAAGTGGAAACTCTTGATTTTAGTAGAAATACTGCCAGGGTCAGGCAGTTGGATTACAAGTAGAAGGAAAAGAGAGAGGGGAATACACCAATCAGACAACCTAAAAGAGTTCCAGGCCTAAGGTGGCTGAGATATGGAGACCCACACACTGTGCTAGCATGTGGTCTGTGGGAAAGACAATCAAAAGGAAAACAAAAAAGGGAAAGAATAGATAAAGTGAAACAAAAGGAGGGGCGGAGAGAGGGAGAAGGAAGGAGATGGGGAAGATAAGAGATCAGAGCGACAGGTAGATGGGGACAAAGGACAACTTCAAAGGGAGACCTGGCGGGGGTGGAGTGTCAGTTTGTCTCCCCAGTGTAGGTGGCAGGGCCACTTCCCAGGCCCTCAGATTCCTGGCACACCTCTGGGCAGTCCTTCATGGGTCAGGTCCCAGACACTGGTCACACGCCTGGCCAGTCCTTCAGGTGCCTGCTTGCAAATGCTGTTCTCCTAGTTAGTTTATTATTTAATAAAAGATGCCATGCATTGAATACATATTTTTCGAGAACTGTATGTCTTTTGGGTGTATTAGTGTTGTTAGGAGCATATATCCTACACAGGGAGGGCCTGAATACTTTTGTAGTTAACTCATGAGCCAGTTATGTATTATTTATCAAATGCCTGTGCCCTCTGAGGTGTGTCTGCCCCACTGAAAGTAGACATAATAAAAGATGACTTAATAGTACTGTTTTTGAGAAAGAGGGAGAGGGAGAGACTGACTCTCAAATGCACCAGGCTACCTTTGAGCATAATATGTAGCTGAGGCTGGCTTTGAACTCCTGATCTTCCTGCCTCTACACCTGAGTGCTGGGATTGCCAGTGTGTGTCACCATGCCTAGATTTAATGGTATTTATCAATCCTTATGATCAACCCCATCACAAAGATGGTCTCTTTTATAGCTCTGAGACAAAGCCTCCTCCTCTCTTAGCTTGGACATCACTTGTAAATATATTACCTGGGCCAGACTGGAAATGTTTTGTTGTTGTTGTTGTTTTGTTTATTTGTTCTGTTCTTTTTTTGAGACAAGTGTTTTTCTGTGTATCCCTGCTGTCCTAGAACTCACTCTGTAGATCAGGCTGGCCTCGAACTCACAGAGATCCACCTGCCTCTGCCTCCCGAGTGCTGGCATTAAAGGCGTGCGCCTCCACAGCCTGGCAAGACTTGAAGAGCTGTTATAGCAGGCTTCTTCCCTGCATTTATCTTGCAGCATAGCTTTATAAAATTACAGTATTTCAAATGACTGAGAAACCTAAGTGGGAAAACAATAGTGTTTGTATTGACTTTCTCAGCCTCTCATCCTGAAGATCCCAGTTTGGAGGCACAGAGGGGTGGAGCAACTGATCAAAATTATAGCGTACATTCCACTTGCATCCTAACACATTCGGATGTGTCGGCTAAGCCTTTGTTGTCAAAAATAGCCAGCAGCTGGGCATCTTGTTTTGGCGCTCTTTTCTGTGCGGTCTGTTTCTCCTTAGACGTTACCCTGTACTTGTGTTTTGGCTTAACTAGGTTTCACTTCTAGATTTGGTTATTGTGTATAGACAGCTAAACATGCTAGCCAGAAGCAGTGCAATACTTGACCGACTTATGGTTCTCAGATGCTCTGGTGAACATTGGAGCATTCTTTTCTTAGCCTACAAAATGCACAGTCATTAGAATCTGAATATGATGAAGCTTGTCACTGGGGAAAGTTAAATGCCTAAAATGAAAATAAACCAGCTTTTGTTTTTAGCCTTTACTACTGACAAGGTGTTTAGAATGACAATATAAGGAAAAGTGTAAGAAGGCCTTTGCAGGTGGGACAGTGGCATGCGTGTGCTGCTTATGGTGTTATTTGTCTGTTTTGTGTTACTACTGAATATCTCTCCTGAAGAAGCAGGTTATTTAGCTCACATCCTGGGAGGAGAGGGTCATAATCCATAGCATGACACATGCTCTGTGGTGCGGACCACCTCTTGGCTGCATCCCCTCATGGCACAGAGCAATAGTTACAGGAGTACATAATTGATCTCCAACCAGAAGTAGAGGCTCTGAGATCATTGTTGAAGAGTGGCCAGAAAGACTGTAAGAACAGAGGTGGTGGATGACTCTAAGGACACAGTGGTTTTTTTTTTTTGGATGCAATTGGAGGTACCAGGCTTGCTCTTTTTATAACAACTCTCTTGTTAGAACTCAGTGCGTCAGGGGAGAAACTACCTTCTCAGAGTATGTCTCCAGTCACCCAAGGGCCTCTTACTGGGTCCTTCTTCTGGAAGGTTCCTCTGCCTTCCAGTAGCATCCTTTGCAGGCAGCTACTTCAGTCACAGTGGACTGGTGGGAATACCCATGCAATATTGCTTGTAGCTTAGTCTTAGAGGAAAAGCCATTTGTAAAGCTATTTTTGCTTGTATGGGTAGCACATGTTTAGGTTAAAAAATAATTGTCTTCTTGAGCCAAATTGCCTTGGAACCAATTTGTTTTTTAAAGTTTGCTGTGCAAAAATGAGTTCATGATGACATTTTCATAGGAAATTGTATCATGTATTTTTCTCATGTTCTCCTCTTCTTTATCCTCTGTTGTCTCCCTCTCCTTTCTTGCTGGCCCCTCCTCTTCTCAAGTTAGTCTCCCTTCTGCTTTCAAGTCTCAGGAGAAAAAACGTGATATTTATCTTTCTGAATGTAGCTAATTTTGCTCAATGCTAAGATCTCTGGGGGAACTAATTTTGACTTCATTTTAAGTTTAGCCATATTAACAGAATTAATTGTGTTTAGTTTGTTCAATCTAAACATTTAAGACATTACAGCTCCAATTCTTATAGTGTAAGGAAGATAGCTAAAAATTCTATATAAATAATGCTGAGTCAGGGAGATTTAAAGCAGTTAAAATTTGCCTGTCTTAGAAATGTTAACAAGTTCTATACAATTTTTGAATTTAATAATACAGAGAGCAAAATTCCACAGACTTAGTTTTAAAATATTTTCATTAACTCTTTGAGATTTTGTACATTGTATTTTATTTGAGTTCACACCATCACCCATCTCCTCCCAGATCAACTCCCCATTCCATCCCCACCCTACTTTGTGTCTTCATTTTTTTCTTCACAAAACTACATTGAGTTCTGTTAGTGCTGCCTATATACTCTTAGGTATGTGGCCATCTGCTGGAGCATGTTAGACCTACAAGAGCCACACTCTTTAAGAAGTTAACTTTCCCTCTTCTGGCAGCCATTAATTACCAATAATTCTTCTTCTAGCAGTGAAACTTCATGCCTCCCTCTCCATGCTGGGCTTTTGTTGGCCTGAGCTTGTGCATGTCTTGTGTGTGCTGCCACAACCTCTGTGGGTCCATATATGCAACTGTCTTCTTGTATCCAAAGCTACCATGTCCTTATAGTCATCTACTGCCTTTGCTATTACAATCTTTCTGCCACCTCCTCTGCAGTGATCTCTGAGCCTTGGGAGGAGAGCGCTGTGATGTAGTTGCTCTATTTAGGGCTGAGAATTCCACAAACAATTACTCTCTGAACCTTGACCAATTATGGGAATCTGTGTTAATCACCATGGAATGCCAAAAAAGCTTTAGACTGGAGAGATAGGTCAGTGGTTAAGAGCCTTTCTGACTCATCTTTGGTTCCAAGCACCCACATAGTAGCTCACAACCACCTGTAAACTATTGTTCTAGAGGGATCTGATGTCTTCTTCTGGTCTCTGTGGGCACATACATATGTGGTACACTTAACATATATCCAGTCAAAACATCAGTACACATAAAATAAAAATAAATAGGTCTTAAAAAAAGAACCATTTCTGATGAGGTTTGAAAGCTGCAGTAATCTGTGGGTGTAATGAGAAGTCGTTAGGAGCTGGTTTAATATTATATTTTATTAGCAGAGTAATAGTAGACCACTCCTTAGATCCTGTGATCTGTAGAGCCACAGGTTTTTGGTTCTGATAACTGTGCCAGCCATGGGTTTCGTCTGGTGGGGAGGGCCTTGAGTCCATGCAGAAAGTGGTTGGTTACTCCTATGACATCCATGCCACTATTGCGCCGGTGGGCCTATCGTGCCAGGCTCACTGTCGTTGAGGTTTGCAGGGTCCACATCTGCATAAGACTGGATTGCTTTTCTCCTCCAGCAGCATGCATAGCACCTCCAAGAACTAGGAATATGAGCCAGTAGGAATGAAACTTCCATCCAGGTCATTACCAGTTTCATTTTCCCATGTTTTATGACGCAAGTATATGATAGAAGGTCTTACTGTCACATTCTGGAGGGTGACCAAGAGCAATGACAATCTGCAGGTAATATTTGGGGTCTCTGGGACCTCATTGGTTAACAATGAGGCACCGTATTTCTAACATTGGGCCATTTATTTGTTAGCCTGTAGTATCTACTAGGGGGCTTGCTGCCCCATTAGAGGGTAACTCCACTTAAGCTCTTCTTCTATGTGTATGTTTATGTATTAGGAAGCTTTTGCAGTAGTAGATTTTCATGACTGTTTTTAGAAAGGTTTTAGTGTGAGTTATCTCTCCCCATGTTCCCTCCTTTACCTTGCCCTCCCATTCTCCACTTCTCTCTCCTATTCCCTCCTTTATTCTGTCTTTCCATTCCCTACCCCCATTTAACCATTTTTATTCATTATTCCCGTATGTTACTGCATCCTATTTTCCCTCACTGGAAGCCTCACTTCCTGATGGTCCCCTACTAATTTCTTGACTTCTATGGTTATTCCAAATGAGACACACACATCAGAAGATTCAAGGCTAACAGCCAACAAATTAGAGAAAATATGTGATATTTATCTTTCTGGGTCTGATTTTCTTCACTCAGCTGTTAATAAAAATGCAACTATAAAATTTACAGGTAAGTGTTTGGAACTGGAAATAATCACTCCATAGATGTATTTTTTTTTCATTTGTTTTTCTCTCTCACAATGGAATCACTTGCCAAATTTCTAAGCTCATTCCTTCTTGCTTTTCACTGGGGACCTCATTAGTTATGCACAATGAGCATTTTCTGCCTCTCTGCAGATCTGCTCTGGCATGTGGGGAAGCTGAGCCAAAGCTCAATGTGGAAACAGTCTAGCACAGTCTTGAGATGTTTGAATTTCCTGTTACTTGTCTGTTAGGAACACTGCGAGTAAATAGTTACAGAAATTTTTTGGATGACTTTGTCTTTTAGCACACATTCATGACTTCTCTGGGAGTAAAGGCCCCTGTCTCAAACTCTTGTCAAGAGTTTGTCAATAACTTAGCTTGCTATATTACTGTATTACTTTGCCTCCAGCTGACAAGGCTTTTCGAGACATGAAGGTGCTGAAGATGAGCCAGTCTATCATTGTGTCTGGAGAATCAGGAGCTGGCAAAACAGAAAATACCAAGTTTGTTCTAAGGTGAGTATTTAGCTGATCTGAACTGTTTTGAGCTGTCTGATATTATTTTTATGGAAAAAAAGTTTAACACTAAGTTTGCCCGTTTCCCATTTTGAAGTTCAGTGACGCCAAGCACATCCACATCATCACATTCATGTCATTGTGTTGTTTATATTCCTCCTCTCACACAACCTGGGACTGTACTCATTAAACAGTGCATAAATAAAATATTACTCCCCCAGATGCTGTACTCATTAAATAATACATAAATAAAACATTACTCCCCTAGAACCATTGTTCTTCTTTGGGTTTCTGTGAGTTTCTCTAAGTACCTTGTTTAAGCAGCATCATACAGTATTAATCTTTCAGTGACTTCCTTATCTCATTTAATTCAATATGTGATTCACTCATGTTTGAGCTGGTTATAGTGACATGTGCCTATATGTACGCACGCACGCACGCACGCACGCACGCACGCCCTCAGTTTCTTGGGAGATTGAGGCAGGAAGATCACTTTCATTTCAAGAGGATGGGAGCCTAGAGAACTTAGTAAGACCCTGACTCTTTTTTTTTTTTTTGGTTTTTCGAGACAGGGTTTCTCTGTGTAGTTTTGGTGCCTGTTCTTGAACTCGTGTTGTAGACTAGGCTGGCCTCAAATTCACAGAGATCTGCCTGGCTCTGCTTCCTGAGTGCTGGGATTAAAGGCATGCACCACCACTGCCCGGCAAAGTGTTTATTTTTTTATATTTTGTGCACTGGTGTTTTGCCTGCACATATGTTTGTGTGAGTATGCTGGATCTCCCGGAACTGGAGTTACAGACAGTTGTGAGCCAATGTGTGGTTGCTGGGAACTGAACCCAGGTCGTCTGGAAGAGCAGCCAGTGCTCTTGCCTACTGAGCCATCTCTCCAGCCCCCTGACTCTTAAAAAATATATAATCACCCATGTTATAGTATGTGTCCTATGTTATGGTATACATTAGAATTTCCTTCCTGAATTTTAGGGCTGAATAAATTTCATTGCAGGGATTTATTGTATTTGCTGTATTTGTACACGTATTGATAGGTAGTTGGCTTGTTTCTGCCACTTGGTCATTGTGAATAGTGCAGTTTTGAGTGTGTGTGTGTGTGTGTGTGTGTGTGTGTGTGTGTGTGTGTGTGTGTAATGACAAAGTATTTAAGAAGATTGACTTTTAATACCGTTGCACACTTCATGGAATACTTTGGAAGAAACAAACATCTTATATGGAATGCAATCTCTACTTGCAGAAAGCTGGCTCTGATATGTTATTTCTTGGAGGATTCTCTAAGAAGTTATTGCTAGCTAGGCAATGAGGAACCCAGGAATGTTTCTCCAAAATCCAAATGGACATTCTATTCTCAATGTTGGTGCTATGAAATAGCTTTGAAACTACTTTTTATTTAGACTTCCTCTTATCCCTTCTCTTGTCAGATCCCCTTTTCTACCATCACAGTGAACTCTCCACCCTTGGTGTATAATCATAACATTTTAAAAGTGGAAGGAGCATTACCATAGGACTATAGTTTCATTCTTTTATTTTAAATACTGTTAATTGTCTCATTGCTGTGACAAAATATCAGACAAGAGGGAATTAAGAGAGGAAGGGTTCATCTCAGCTTCTGGTTCAAGGGTTCAAATACACCATGGTGGAGAAGGCGTGCTGGCAGAGGCTGGTCACATAGCATCTGCCGTCAGGGAGCAGAGAGGGATGAGCGAGTGCTGTGCTTAGCCTTTTACATCTTCTCCATGTGCTCCAGGATGCCAGCACGTGGAATGTTGTCACGCACATCCAGGGTGGGTCTTCCCACCTCAATTAGCTAATCAATACCAAACCTTCACAGACCATGGCCGTAGACCTGTCTTCTAGGTGATTCTAGGTCCTATGGAGTTGATGGTCAATGTGAATCAGCACACATATCCAAGGAAGTTAAACCGAGTGGCGAAGAGACTGCTAGGACAAGCACATTCTGAATTTTTATTAATATTGTTCCTAACCTATTACAGTTCTTAGTTTTTTCATGTTGGAGTTCTTTATGAAAGTTTCTATTAGTTATAAAAATATATATAGTTAATTAAGTAGTTATTGAGTTACTTACGTAAATCTAGTTGAAAACTTGTTATTTTGACAAGAATATTTCCAAAAAGCTTGAAAACATAATTCCATGACCTTCACATGCCTGCACAAGACATAAATAAATAAAAATATAAATAAAACATAAATATAACTATAATAAAAATTTAAAAACATTACTAAACAGTTACAATGATGATTCATGTTTCAGTTTGATATGTGCTAAATAGTAAGTTTATAAATATATTGTACTCAATTTTTTTTTAATCCTGTATTTTAAATAGATACCTGACAGAATCTTATGGAACTGGTCAAGATATTGATGATAGAATTGTTGAAGGTATTGTTGATTTTATTTTTAATATTGAGTATCTCCGAAGTTAGCTTAGAAAAATCTTGTCTGTGGTCTACAATGTTTTCCTCCCAGAGGTGTAAGAGACTTTCTATCTCCTATAAACCTTTGCTCAAATTGTCTTTCTGCCTTCTATTGTCTTTCTCTGCACTGGAGGCTTGTCTCCTAGATGACTCTAGATCCTGCCCACTTGTCAATCAAAAGTAAAACCATGACAGTGGGTAAACATTTAACACTTGTGGAATTTGACATTACTTCCATAGTAATATTGTTCCATATTAATATTTCTAAAAGCACTTATTTATCCATCATTTTCTTCAAATATTTTTCCCTACAGAGATGTAATATGTATATTGCTTTATAATTTTCTTTCATAACTTTCTTGTGATTTTTTTTGATGAAGTATTTTCATTTCTTTTTCAATAGCTAATCCACTTTTAGAAGCTTTTGGAAATGCAAAGACTGTTCGTAACAATAATAGCAGTCGATTTGGAAAATTTGTAGAAATTCATTTCAATGAAAAGGTAAATGAAAGTTGCTTTTGGGATATATTTGGGAAGTGTTGTGGTAAGTGTAAGGGTCTTATTAGAATTGAAATTAGTATAGTTCTTTGTAAGATTATTATTTTTGTAATTATTATTATGTGTGTATAGTTGTTTTTATTTACAATGACTTTATAATTTCTGTTCAGTTTAAAATCAAAATATTGGATTTGACTGCATTATCAATCATGGCTTTGTAGATAATTCTTTCTTGATTCTTTTGTTGTTTTGATAACATGTAATAATGTACACATTCATGGGGCACAGCATGATATATATAGTGATATGTATATCTGTGGATCTGTGTAGTCTGTAACGATCACATCTGGGAAGTTAGTGTCTTCTCAGCATGAAGTGAGTGTGATGGCAATCCGAGAGCTCTTCAGCAACTGTCTGCGGGCTGCTGTGGACACGGCCCACTACAAAGTTAGTTCTGATTCGTCAGAGGCTCAAAAGCTTGAAAGGATCAGGGTAGAGATCAGATAACAGTGTTTAAAATGAAGGATGAATTGTAAAAATACTCAAAGCTTATATTTTAGGTATTTCTTTGTAATAGTTGATAAATATTTTAATTTCTTATTTAAATATTTATTTTACTATGTTTGTTAGAATAGATTAAATTAACATTAAGTTATATTTCAATCCTGTAGATGCAAAAATGTATTTTCTCTTTTGTCTTTTAGAGTTCAGTTGTTGGAGGGTTTGTTTCTCATTATCTCCTAGAGAAGTCTAGGATCTGTGTTCAAGGCAAAGAGGAGCGGAATTATCATATTTTTTATAGGTTGTGTGCTGGGGCTTCAGAAGACATTAGGGAGAAGCTTCACTTGAGTTCCCCAGATAATTTTCGGGTAGGTTGAATGAAAATACATTTTATATGAGGTTTGCAAATTCTCTCAGTGTTAAAACTCACTGTGTTTTGTTACCTAGTTGTATTTGTACATAACTTACATTAAGGTCAAGTACAGTGGGCTTTCTGAATCTGCAGATTTTACATCTTAGACTTAACTAGCGTGAATTGAAAATATTGGGGATGATGAAGAATACATCTATACTGAGCATCTATTATTTCCTTATTATTTTTACCAAACAACAAGGAATAATATTCCTTCACAGAGTGTTTACATTATAGGAAGGATTATAAATAATTTCCATGTAATTTGAAGTATTTGATAGGCTGTGTGTATGCAGATCATATACAAGTATATTGCTGTTTTAAAGGGTTTGCAAATTTTGGTATCTAGTATCCAGAAGGGGCCAAGGCTTTGATCCTCCTGCCACCCCCCATACCTGAGATGTAACTAGGTGATGTGTTAGAATTATAGTCTTGCTGATGAAATCTCTATTGAGATATATATTGTAAGTCTATCATGAGTTCAATATCTTTTATATAAAAACCCTAAATCTCAAACACTATGAAGTCTGGCTCTTTGTAGTTTTAGATTTGTGATGTTCAGCTGGAAAATGAAAGCTTATGCAAATACTCTGAAATCGGAATTACTTTTTCAAAATACTTGAAATAAGTGATTCTCAACATGTGTAATAGTATATGAGGAGGTATGTAATTCAGGAGGTAAAAGGACAGATGTTTAAAATCTTATTTATTTAAATCCAATTATAAACTTATAAGGTTTTGTAATACTAGCCTTAAAATTATCTTTAGTGTAGCTATAAAAACTTCCATCACTGAACCAATATTAAAAAGAATGCATCATTATATCCCTTAGTTCAGTTCAGCAATAAATACTTATTGCTCAGTTATTAGGTTCTAGACATTGTGCCAGAATTAAAAGATAAATAAGGCATTATCTTGTTCCTAGGCAACTTAGAATGTGGTGGAAAATGAACACATAGTCTGACTGCTTTGCTGAATAGTAAGAAATTATACTTGCCTGCCCCACCTCCAGTGCTGTGATAACTAGGGATTTTAAAACCCTAGTGCAAGAGTTGACTACTTGAAAGAATACTGGTGTGGGGCTGGAGAGGTGGCTCCATGGTTAGGAGCAGTGGCTGCTCTTGCAGAGGACCTCGGTTCAGTTCCCAGCACCCACATGGTGCCTCACAACCCCCTGTGATACCAATCTGAGGGAATTTGACATCCTCTTCCGACCTCTAATTCTCAAGTTAATTGGAATTTGAAGTTAATTGCTTATCATATCTTCATGAAAACAGAAGAGGCATTTTTTTTTTTCCTTGAGTTTTTAGATTTTTGCCAACACCTAGCTGGCCAGAAAGTCAAGTGACTGCTATGGCTGTAGTCTAGTATTTCTTTTTGCTTGGAGACTTGGGAGCATAGTATTTCAGTCTCAGAAGTTACAGCCTGTCCCTGAACAGTGAGGGGCAACCAAAGGCTTTTCTGCCTTTGTGCTATGGACCACCAATATGGATTTCATTTGCTCTAGGGCAGTCCCAGTGGTGGCAGGAGAAAAAGCAGGGGACATACACATGCCATTTTGGACATTCCTGTCATGTTACAAACAACCATACCTTTATCCCATTCCCCAAATAGTTCACTATAAGTGGTATGAAGGTGTTTTGATAATTTCATCAGTTTTTTTTCGTTATACTCTGTCCTTATAGTTTACTAATCAAGTTGTAAACACAAAGGAGTAGCATGAACGCTTTCAAAATGTTTGAACTTTATTTTGTCATTACTTTATCCAAATTGATTCATGATTTAGAGATTTACTGGCTTAACACATTTGTATTAACTATACATGTATCCTGCAAAATAAAGTTAAAAATGCTCAACGTTATTATAAATTTAAAAATCCTTTTACACATTTTATGGAAGCATTTGGCACAGTCAGGCAAAAATCCTGGAATATAAAGAAAGCTTATGTAGACTGACAATAGATGGCAAGAACAGGCACAGACTCTCATCATAGCAAAGCTGAAATAAACAGTCTCTTTCCTAGACCTTTAATGTTTTTGCAATTCTTGAGATTAATCCCAGGGCCTTATGCATACTAGGTTAATGCTGGGTCACTAAGTTTCACCTTCAGGTTTCTAGTTTTTGTTTGTTTGCTTAAGGCCGAGGTTCATTGTGTAGTCATGTTCTTTCCCCATGGAGCCTGTGTTAATTGTACCATCAATTCTTCGTCTTAGTATTTAAACCGAGGCTGCACTAGATACTTCGCTAACAAGGAAACCGACAAGCAGATTTTACAGAACCGAAAAAGTCCTGAGGTACAGTAGATTATTTTTTAATTAAAATCCTTAATTTAAAAATATTGCTGATAGATATGTCTTTATTTTGGAACTTCTTGCTTTCAGGTTTATGTTTTAAAACAACATGATGATCCAAGTCTCTCTTGTAGTGTGATGCTCTAAACCACTGTCACATAGAGAACAATAGACTCATGTTCTTCTTGGGCCCAAATACATTGCTTTTCTCATGTTCTTTCTTGAATTTCTATGCTATGAAACTGCTTAAAATCATCATATTTTAGCAGCTTACTCTGATATTACTATTAGTAGTTAAGTGTATTTATCAGTAAGCTTTCTACTGCTGTGACAAAATATATGAGCAGTTATCTTGAATTGGGGAAGATTTACTTTTGCTTATGATTTTGTATTTCAGCCCTTGGTTAGTTGTAACAGGCTTTCCTTGGGCCACCAACCATCTATCAAATCAAGACACGGAGACTTAATATTAGTTAGGAATTCTTGGCCTTAGCTTATGTTTGTCTCATTAGCTCTTTTAACTTAAATTAACTGGTTTCTCTTCTTCTATGTTTTACCTTGGGCCTTTTTAACCTTTCTATCATTCTGTATGACCTACTCCATGTCTGATTGCCTGGCAGCTGCCTGCCTGGCTGGCCCCAGGTATCTCCCTCTCTTTGTTTTTAGTTCTGTCTTTTCTGGAACCTAGTAGAGTCCTCCTACTTCTTCTCTCTGGCCACCAGCCCTGCCTATCCCTCCTCTGCCTAGCTATTGGCCATTCAGTTATTAGACCAATCAGGTCCCTTAGGCAGGCAAGGTGAAACAGCAACACATTTTTATATAATTTAAACAAATGCAACCTAAACAAAAACAACACACCTCTACATAATTAAACAAATGCAACATAAACAAATGTAACACACATTTACATAGTTAAAGTAATATTTCACAACAGTTAGTGATCTCTATGCTTCTGGGCCAAGGTGAGGGATAATTCATAGCAGAGGGCAAGTGGTTAGGTAAAACTCTCACCTCATGGTGGCTGGAAGTGAGTGTGAGGTGAGGTAGAGGAAAGAGAGAGGCTGTGTGTCAGGGACAAAGTAAAGACCACAAGACTCCTAGTTCAGTCAGTCAAATTTCCATCACTTACTAATAACCCATCACATTTTGAGGCCATCAAAGGATTAATCTATTGACAAGGTGAGAGTCTTCATGATCCAGTCGCTTCCCCAAAGCCATTCCTCTGAATACTGCTACACTGGAAACCAAGTCTCCCACACATGAGCCTTTTGAGGAACATCTCGGTAGAAAGCATAAAGTATGCTTTTTCATTTGTTGTCTACAGAAGAGAGAGTAGTCAATACCTTAAGCATTCTTGTGAAAGGCTGTTCACATATTATAATTTTACTGTATCAACCATATATCTGGAATATATTATGCAGTTCTATATATTTTGGTCTCATTAATCTGATAATTATGTAATTATTATTTTAAAATATTAAATGTTTAAGAATTTTAAACTTCTAGAAAATTTAACCCACAGAATTCAAGTAATCAGTTGTATTGTGTCTAAACAACACACTTAAGTTATGAAAACTAAATCAGGATTAGTTATTGGTATTAGTTAATCTTGACTATTATTTTTAAAAATATTTATGTCAGTTGAATAACTTTTTACTGTTAGCAGTTTTTAATGGTTCTGTACTTGCCAATCAGATGTTTTGACTTTACTCAGACTGGATAAGATAAATTATGTGTAAAATGCATTAATATAAATGTATAGAAAGAAAATAAAATTATCATTTCAAATTATGAACACATGGAACTACAGTTAATACTTGTTTAATTTGATACTTTGCATGTTATTTTAGATATAGCTATCTGAGTTCTGGGTAAATTTTATGTCCTAGCCACAGCTGAGACCTTTGGAAGTAGCATCAGTGTTTATTATAGCATTTACTTTACTATGTCTTAAAAAGACTATGTTTTTATAACATGCCATCAAATATATAAGTTGCAGTCTTTCCACTAAGATAATCAAAACACATCTGGGACAATTGCAGTGGTCCTGTAGAGAAGATAAATAAAAAATGCAAAAGCGTAGGAAAAAGCAATAGAGAGAAAAGAAAGCCTATGCTTACCCTCCAAATAGTACCATGCCCCCTGCTAGAGAGAAAAACACCAACTTCCCATATTTTAGAGTGAGAATTCTTTATCAGAAATCTTATATCACTGAAAAAGAATGTGCATGTGTATAATATATAAAGGTGAACAGTGGACTAATATATCTAAATTACTTTTTATGTCTTCTTTGTCAGGAGGATGAGGTGATCATTTTGACTAATTAACCCTTTGCTTCATTCTGTCTGGGTGTCTTTATGCTGTGTGCAAATTTTAGGAGAATGCAGTATTTTCAGTCTGCCATGAAGCAAATACGTTCCTGAAGTTTGATTAGAAAACAGCGTTTAAATGCTTCAGATGCTCAGCTGCGAGACTAAAAATTCTGCATGATAGTGATTCTTGAAACTTTGCATGTGATTGTTGCTTCTGCTTCTTTTAAAGAATAAAATAGAATTTCATTTTCTAGACATTTTCCGGAAATCTGGCACACACTCAGACATTTAAAGCATCTTGTGAAAAGCAGGCAGACTGTTAACTTGAGAAATAATTGCATGCTGGGAGACGAGAAGCAGTTGCATGCTGGGAGAAGAAAACATCAGGCAGCTTTAATCCTCATTAATTCTGATGCTGAGTTTCCTTATTTTAACTTTAGCTTTTAATGCTCCGGTTCTGGAAAATTCCTAGATCAGTTTTTCTGTGTCCAGTAATAACTTCTCTTTTTGTTACTTCTTTTTGCTTTGCAGGCCTAACTTCCTTCACTCTCTGTCTGAGTTTGCTAGATCCTAACATATGAATGCTTGAGATACAAATTTTTCTAGGAGAGAAAACAAGTTTCTCTCTTTCTCGCTCTCTCTCTCTTTTAATCCAGAAAGTCATTGCATGCATTCCTGGAGTTACCCTAATGTGTAGTAATTCACCTCATCTCATACATACAACACAGAAAAGTTACAGGATTACTTATCAGGCCATGGAGATGCTGTTGCCTTGTCTGGATTTGCTTCTGTTTATATGGATGTAGTTGCCAGTAGTTAACCTAGTGGCAAGCTTATTGGCACATTAAATTCTTTATTACAGTTCTTTTCACTTGTCCTGTTTTTTCATATTTATTTATTTATTTATTTGCATACAGAATTGTTTTATTTTCATATTTATTTTTAATTGACAGAAGTGCATATATTTGTAACCTGCATGGGTTATCATGAAACATTTTCTCATTGTATAATTATAGATTAACTGAGTCAGATGAGTGAACACATCCATTACTACTTTATTTCTCTTTGATCTGAGGCTGTTGCTTCATTTCAGCCAGCCACCCTTTCCCCTTTCACTAATTTATATTTATCTAACATCCTAGACTCACAATACTTTAGCGTTAGCATCATACTTTAACTGCAAAGCATCTCATTCCATTGCTTTAATTCAAGTTTTTATTGAAAGAATTGTAGATTCACATGAAATTTTAAGAAATAGCACAGAGAATCCTTGCATACACTTTATGTACCATTCTATTCTTAAACATATTCCAAAGCTTACATTTTTCCGTTGACAGATTTTGTTTTTGCATGTCGTATATTGCATAACAGCCCTGCTGGTGTAGCTGTTAGTTGATCTGAGTGGCATGAAGACCAGTCAGTTGATACCTTCTTGTTTTATAGTATGTTAAGGCAGGTTCCCTGAAAGATCCTCTGTTAGATGACCATGGAGACTTTATTAGGATGTGCACAGCCATGAAAAAGATCGGTTTGGATGACGAAGAAAAACTTGATCTGTTTCGAGTCGTAGCTGGTGTCCTGCACCTTGGAAATATTGATTTTGAGGAAGCCGGAAGCACTTCAGGTTGTTCCTTCAGTTCTTAACTAAAGAATAAAATTGAGTATAATGCTTGTCATCTCCTAGCCATATGAATATTCAGTCACTTGTGTGTACATGTGTTGAAATTATAACAAATTTCTGGGACATTCTCTGTTGCATGGTGATTTGACAGATGAAGAAATAGTTTTGAATAAGTTAGTAGCTATTATGTGGTTTGTACTTAAAAAAATTCCAGCTAGTATTGTACTTTTAATACTTAATGGAATAATTCTCTTATCCGTTAATGTCTATTTTTACCTTTTCTATTTCATAGATCTAAACTTGAATCAGATAATTGGGGTAATTTAATATACAGTAGCCTATCCTTCTTTAGTGGGAGATAAAAATAAAAGTTTCATTCTTATGGAAGTTGAAAAGTATTTAAATCCAACCAATATAGTACCTTTTCAGTTTTAGTGTTTCCATTTCTATATAAACAATAAGACTTTTTATATAATTGCAAATTTGGTACCCAAATATAGAATTGGCAAATGTAGCCCATCACCTGTTTTTATAAATAAAGTTTTAGTGGAATATAGCTACTTCCATTGTCTATGTATTGTTTATCCCAGTGTGCATGCTCCAGTGGCAAAGCTGTGCTCCTCACAGACTTTGCCCTCTGAAACCAAAAATATCTACTGCCTGCTTCCTTAGAATAAAACGTTTACCAGCCCTGCATTAATACACTTTGCTAGAAACTTACACCAAGGATGCATTAAGAGTCTGGAGCATCACTTAATACAGCAGCCAATGCTATGGGCTTTGGTGTCAGACCTCACAGATATCATCATTTGCAAAACGAGATGATCTGTAAGTGCTTTAAAAAAGAACAATTCCTAGTAATAGTATATGTATAGAAAGGCCCTCAGAGAAAGACGGAAGAACTATTTAAGAAACAATGTGTTAGGCTCAAGTCATCAGTGTGGATGGAGGACTTCCCCTTCTCTTACCTGTTCCATCCCTCCCTCTTTTTAAAATTTGAAGTTTTTTTTTTAAGTGTATGAGTGTATGCATACTACATGTGTGCCTGGTACCCATAAAAGCCATAAAAGGGTATCAGATCCCATGGAACTGGAATTACAGGCAGTTATGAGCTACCTTGTGGGTGCTAGAAACTAAACCTGGGTTCTCTGAAAGAACAGAAAGCACTTAATCACGGAGCCATCTCTCCAACAACCTCTCTTGTGCTTTTGGAGACAGGTCTCATACAGCCTAGACTGGCCTCAAAGTGATCTTCCAGCCTCCACCCCCCAAGTTCTGGGATTACAGGTGTGTACCATGATACCCAGCTTTGCATTTTTTTGAGGCCCTAAGTTTGATCCCAAGCACTGGAGGGAAAATGTCTTCTATGCATAAAATAAAATCCTTCATAATCATAATTGAAACATATAAAAATGATGAGCTAGGAGGTGCCTCTGTTTTGCAGATATGGAACGTGCACAGTGGTACTGAGCATGGCTACTATTGAAGTAATAGACAGGAGAGCCTGGTTGTAGTCATGTCTGACTGGCTCAGGAGATTGTGTTATTATCTCTCATGACCTTCGGTCCACTGAGCCTTGTCATCTGTGAGTGAGCAGACTAAGATAGACAATCTTCAATGACTTTCAGATCTGTTGTCCTGTGATCTGTGAAGTCAATAATGTTGGACACAACATAGTGTAATGGATGAGCACATGACCGTCAATCAAATTGTTTCATCGTGTGCTATCTGCTTGTATGACCTTGTCCCTCCTGTGTCTTAGCTTCCTCCCTATAAAGAGATAGTAGGCCCCAACTCATGCCATGAAGAGAAGTCAATGAGATAAGTATTTACAAGACGTTTTGAATACTGGTGTTTGGCAGGTATAAGTGAACAAATTAAATAATATATAGACTATTATTTATTGAAATGATGCATTAAAAATTAGGTACTTGGAATATGCATTAATTATCTTTAAAGTTTTTTAAAAGAGGAATTGGAAATTTTCCTTTGAAAATGTATTTCAAGATATATTTTGTTTATATTTTAGCATTGTTATAGGAAGGGAGCTTGTGGGAGAGGGTAAATAATACATAAAAATACTTATTACTGACTCGAGGAAGGACATGCAACTCTATAGTATATCCTAAATGTCACGTGACTAGCTAAAGCATGCTCAGTGATCAAAAGGGACATAGTCTGTGCTTGCTTTCTCTCTTACTTAAAAAAAAGTACTTTCTGTTGTGGGAGAAAAGAAACAGAATGCAGGGGACATTGGGGTAAGATAAACATTAGGTAATTTTTATTTTCACAGCTAAACTTTTGTTGTATTAATCTTCATTTTTTCCATGACTTCCCATGGATCCAAATCATTTCCTGCTAAATAAAAATGAGGTGTTCTTTTTTTCCTTCTTCCTAGAAAATTTAACTTTGGATTGCCATAGTGACTTGCAGAGAAACCCAGTACTTTTGTAATGATTTTAACATAAAGTTAATTCTCCAATAAACATTTGTAAGGCTCCCCAATATTATAAAACTGTTTTATTTAGTGGCAGTATAGAAAATACCTGTTAGGACTAACTGTGTTTTAAAAATCCCATGTAACAAATATGTATGCCATAACAGTAAAAATACCACAATAAACAATACAACAGTAATAAAAAACATTTAGAGTATGTTTTTAGGGACTAACATGAATGCTCTGTATTATTTTAAAGTTTTTGCTTTTCCAAGATTAAAAAAGTTCCTTATGTTGACCTACCATGCTCTTGTAAGAAATGCTGTAATATGATAAAAAAAGGGAACATTTAAATAAACAAATGGATTCCCAATGGTCATGTTTTTGTGTAATTTTAGTGTAGACAGGTGAGAGAAAGGGATTATAGTCCTGGTGAGGATGGCGGGAGAGCCTGTCACATCGTTCAGAAGGATGCACAAGTTAAAACTTAGGAATTGTTTATTTCTGCACATTTCCAGAATAGTTTGGCCTCAAGTTGGCAGCAGGTAACAGAAACTGTGGGTGAATCTGCTGGCAGGGAGGGTGAGTCTCTAACACTGTGCATTTGCCCCAGGTTAGGGTTTTCTGTTTAACTTGTCAGTAGGGACATCCAACAAGGATGGAAAAAAGTGATCTGGGTTTGAAAGTTAGAAATGATCCTCATCTATCCCATAATACTACATAGATGAAGAAGATTCTAAGAAATGAATCTGGAAAACCTCGTTTAATTCGTGCATATTAATTTCACATTGAAACATTCCCATTAGGCGGCTGTAACCTGAAGAACAAATCTGCCCCGTCCCTGGAGTATTGTGCTGAGTTGCTGGGGTTGGACCAAGATGATCTGCGAGTCAGCTTAACCACGAGAGTCATGCTCACCACAGCAGGGGGCACCAAAGGAACTGTTATAAAGTGAGTTCGATCTCGTTGCTCCTGCCTTGTGCTTCGTCAAGGAAGAACGTATATTTTGAAAACACTGAGATTTAAGGTCAATGTTTATGCATCGTTCATTCTTCCCATTTGTATGTTCAAGCTACGCTTGACAGATCAAAATTCCGTGCTTCCAGCGACTGCAGTTCCCCACAGAGATGAGTGGGGTTCTCCGTGGAAGTGGCGTATGCTTGAGCGCCCACTAAGAGAGACTCATTGTATAAGAGCATCCACTTCACACTTATCTTTCATTTGGAACGACCCTGTCTCAAAAACCAACGACTGAAAATTACAACACGTTCTTTTCTAGTGATACAGTATTTTAAATTAATGAAGTTGCCCATTTATTTTTCAATGCCACTCATATTTGGGTGGGTCTTCCTGCTTCAGATAATCTCACCAAGAAAATCCCGACAGGGTGCCCTGCAGCTCACGTTGTAGTTGATTCCAGATGCAGTCAAACTGACAGCTGTGATTATCCATGTGCTCTGTCTGATATTTTTATTTTATTTATGTTGTGTGTGGTGGGGAGATGAGACGTACATGTGCCGTGGGACATGTGTGGAGGTCAGAGGACAACTCTGACCGGAGGAACTCGCTCTGTAGACCAGGCTGCCCTCAAACTCACAGAAATCCACCTGTCTCTGCCTCTGGAGTGATGGGATTAAAGAAATGTGTGCCACCACCACTGCCCAGCTCATACTTGAATAATTTTTAAAGTCACTAAAAAATTGAACATTTTTTTTTGTGTTTTCCCATGGTACTCGGTACTTAGGATCTAGCATGGCATTTGGAAATTCTCTTCTGTGATACTCTCTTTTTATTAGACTCTAATTTTACTGAGGAAAATAGCTTGCCCATAATCCCCTATAGTTACTACCTACATACAGGAGTTAGAAAGTTCAAATTTTAAGATGTCAGTATTTTTTTCTAAGTTAAATAAGTTACCAAATTTTTAAGCCTGCAGACCAGGCTGGCCTCGAACTCACAGAGATCTGGCTGGCTCTGACTCCTGAGTGCTGGGACTAAAGGCGTGCGCCACCACCCGGCTCGCCCTGCTCAATTTTATTCCTATTTTCTCTCTGCCTGCTCACCTGAAACTTGGCAGCTGTCCTCATAGCCAATATGTCAGACGTGCTTTGATTTTATGTGTCCAGCATCATTTTCACAGTCTGTTACTTTAAGGACTTTGCATTGGAATATTCTCTTCTCCCTCCTAGGGTCCCTCTGAAAGTGGAGCAAGCAAACAATGCCCGAGATGCTCTGGCAAAGACTGTCTACAGCCATCTTTTTGATCATGTGGTAAACCGAGTGAATCAGTGTTTTCCTTTTGAAACATCATCTTATTTTATTGGAGTCCTGGATATTGCTGGTTTTGGTAAGTATTGTTTCTTTTGTTAATTTGTATTTGATATTTTTGACAAATATAAAAATGTTTTTTTTCTAAAGCTGTTGTGTTAGCCTTTCTCATTGCTATGGCCAAATACAAGAAGAAGTAAAAGAAGCAAAAACTAGTTTATCCTGGCTTGAGGTTTCAGGTTTCAGTCCACCCTGGTGGAGCAGGGCTGCTCACAGCCTGAAGGCCAAGAGGGGAGGGGAAGGGAGGGAAAAGGGAGGGAAAGAAGAGGGAAAAGGAGAGGGGAAATGGGAGGGGGAAGAGGAAGGAAAAGAGGGTATGACTATATTTGGTAGATTTCTGATCCAGTCTTGTTGCACCTGGACCCCCAGCCTCTAGAATGGTACTTCTCACATTCAGGGTAGGATTTTCTGTTTGTAGTACTCTCTGGAAGACCCTCACCAGAGGTGTGCTCTAACAATTTTCTAGGCACTTATCCATCTAATTGAGTTGACAGTCAAGGTGAAGTATCCCAACCTTTGACTCACTTGATTTATTTTCTTTATATGTTCATGTCTGCATTTCATTGCAGCTTCCAGAGGAAGCTGATTAGTACTAAAATGAAAACATGTTCATCTAAACTGCTACAGTTGAGAGGTCTCCATCTTCTTAATGAAATAAATTGAGTGCTGCTGCTAAGCACAATAAAGTTGGGAAATAGTTTAGAAACAGATAAACTCCCATCACTGATAAGATTTCATAATCATTAGACACTTTTTAGCATGGCACACATGTTCAGAGTTGTAAAATTACAGAGCCTCATGGATCTTAGATATAATCCAACGCTTGACTTGAGGACACATTACTATCATTGCGTTTTTTGGTAATGGATTAAGCAGTAAAGAAAATCTCCTAAAGAGCATGAATTTTAAGTCACGCTTATACTTTAGTTTGCTTTAGTACCTTTGCTTTAGAAGTTTGTGTTAGAGAGAAATGACTTCTAATGTTTTAATTTTTCACATCAGACACTTTTTTGTTCTGGTAGAACAAGGTATTTCTGATACCTAAGTGCAGTGCTTGACAAAATATATTTTGAGTTAAGGACATTTGGGGACAGACACAGAACAAAGAATTTCATGTAAACCCAATTTGAAATCAAAGCATCAACACTACGTTACTACATTTTATCCTGGGATAAGTTAATGAGCGTCACTGGATGGTGACAACCCTGCTCTGGTTTTGTTTTCAGAGTACTTTGAGCACAACAGCTTTGAGCAGTTTTGTATTAACTACTGCAATGAAAAGCTTCAGCAGTTTTTTAACGAAAGGATCCTGAAGGAGGTGAGTAATGTCATCATTTAAATTTAAGATCCGTATTAAACTGTTTAAATCTCAAGGAAGACAATCATGCTGCAATTACCCTGACTGATGGAGTCTGTTATGAAGTGGCCCAGTGGTCCAGCAGGCGCTAGCCGCTCAGTTTGGGGCCCTTAGAAGAGAGGACAGGCAGCTTTGCAGAAGGGAACGTCGGTGATTTCTTACCACTGGCTTTCATTAGTAAACTCAGCTTGTGTCTTTCATCGTGACTTGCTTGTCTCTGTTTCTGCCACTACTAAAGAGCTGCTTCCTCTCACCTCTGCCCTTGGCCTCTCTTGCCCTTCTCAGGGTCTGCTTCTGTGTGCTCCGCCAGCTGTTTGCCCTCTTCCTGTGTGCCGTTAAGCCACCAGTCAGGAACTTTTGAGCAGCTTCCCTGTGGCCAGCACTTTTCCTTCTGGGCCATCTTGTGGGCTGCACACTGCTTTTGAATGGCCTGTCTTTGACTGGCCACCATTTCTTCTCTGGGAAGGAACTCCCTTCCTCTGCCCTCAGCATATAATTCTGGGCATGGCCGACATTCAGAATACCAAGTTAGACTAGGAAAAGTTATTTTATGATCCTTTACAGTTTACTCAAAGCAAAGCTAGCTTTGGATAGATTGGTTTGTTTCCAGGCTCATGCTTTTCTCCCCTTGGAGCTGAATTCTCCCATGATTTCTCCCACTCTTTTGGCTTTCCTTTCTCTGTACCATCTGGAATAGGTTTGGCTGATCGAAGAAGCTGGAGTAGAGGGACTGGGAAGTTCATCCAAGCCAGCCCCTGTTGTTCAGATGCGGAGGCAGGTCCGAGGGCACTTCCCAGCTGCTCTAGGCTTTTCTCTCCTTCCCGCGGTTGGCCCACACCCCGTACCTCCTTTGTACCAGCGCTGCCATTCCCGAGATTTGAGCTGAAATACACAGTGTTCTGTTTCCCCCTCATTCCCGTCTCATCTGTTTTCTCCCCAGATGTGATTGTGTTTGTCCTTGCAGGGCTTTTGGCATTTCACGGCTTCCGTTCATTTTTAAATAGCTGTAGCTAGTCAGTTGTTGCAAACACAGATGAGCAAGGGCTTCCCGGTAAGATGTGTCTATGCTCTGTTCCGCGGCGGCGTTCGTCCTTCCTTTGTGGTAAAATCCCACATGCATGCTTGGTTTTTAACATGCCATTACGCTTCCCTTCATACCCGCCCAGCTCACACTCTATGGAGAAATAGGAACCATGTAGAAACGAGGGCACACTGTCTTGATTTATTTAATCAAAGCTTTTATTACAGGCTTTAAAGCATACACACGAATTTCAAATTCAGAATGGGTCCAAGTTGACAGTGCCTTCTAGAATGTGAGGAAACCTCCCTGGTATAGGACGAGAGAAGAAATATTTAACCGTTGAGGGAAAAATTATGTTAGAGCACATTAACTTAATTTCAATGTATATGTTACCCACATGATAAAAAAAACCTTAAAAATTATTTTAAGAAGATACTGACTTTACATATAGGGATTATTTTCATTGAGATGTTATTGATGTATTATTTTTTCCTAATTATATATATTATTTTGCTGTGGAGTCTCTGCATCCACTTGAAGTTATGTGCTGTTTTCCTGGTTTTAGTACTTGGCTACAGGTATTCAAACTTGGTTCCATCTTTAGGAAACCATTTAGGGCTATACCTGTTGGTAAGGCATTTACATTTTAACCAGTAACCCTTATGTAGAAATGACACCAAACAGAGGTGGCGTTTTATGTTGCACGGTATTTCCATGTTGATGACTATAATGTTTGATTCACAGGAACAAGAACTCTATCAGAAAGAAGGCCTGGGTGTTAATGAAGTGCATTACGTGGACAATCAGGACTGCATAGGTATGGATACTGTGGGTCCGTCTTTGGGAAGCATGGGAGAGACCATGTCTTTGCCGGGAATGTCTCTATGTTCCATGGTTTAGACACTAGGTATAGATTTGGGACTGTGGCGTTGCGAGGTGGACTTCCTTAGTACTCCTTGCCAGTTAGGTTTCCTGGCAAAGCATTTTGTCAGCTTTGTTGAAAGTTTTCCTACAATCTCTGTTTATTGTGGTATTTATTTACTAGTTAGAAGACTGTTTTGTGAACTAGGTAAGAGGGGAGCACCACTACTCAGGTGGCCAGCAGACAGCTGTGTCATCTATGATGACGACGTTTGTAGTTTGGTGAGATTTGCCTTGGCCTCTTGGTTCTATTTCTGCTGTGGATTGGCTGTTCCTCTCACCGGTTGCAAGATGGCTTTCGACATTCCATGTTAAATCTAGATAATACTGTGTAACAGCAGTACAGGGCCTCTGCTTTTCTTTGATCTCATCAATAAAGAAACCTTTACCCTACCGCCTTCCAGCTAGCTCTGTCGATTATTATTTATTTGTTTGTGTGGATGTTTTGCCTGCACGTATGTCTGTGAACTACATTCATGCCTGGTGTCCACAGAGGCCAGAAGAGGGCATCTGATCTCCTGGGACTGGAGTTAAAGGTGGTTGTAAGCTGCTGTGTGGGTGCTGGGAATCGAACCCAGGTCCTTTTAGTCACCAAGCCATCTCTCTATCTCCCATCCTGTTTCTTTTCTTTCCCACCCCATCTCTGAAATCAAGTGTTTGGCAAGTCTGGGAGTTGAAAACCCAGTTTGATAGTTCAATCATAACTCATATGCTAGACTTGGACAGCACAATATAGCACAGCATCACTTTGTACCAGTGCAGCCTTCCAGAGGCTTCCTGCTGTACCCTGGTCTGGTCAGCATCCCTTAGCCTCTGTGACTCTTCTCCCCTCCGGGGCTTGGCTGTGGGGTTGTTAATCTTGCTGGAATTTCTCTCCCTCTGTCGATTTTTTGTCCCACTTCCGTCTCATTCAGTACCTAATAAAATACAGCTTAGTTCACCATGTTCATCCTCCTTCATCATCAATTTTCAAAGAAGTATCATTTTCTGATTGATATACTAGGAACCTTGATTTTTCTTTCTGGAACTGTATTCTAGTCTCTCTCTCTCTCTCTCTCTCTCTCTCTCTCTCTCTCT